GTCAGGAATTTTGTGCTGAAAGCGGTACCATTTTTTTGCATGGAAATATGTAGTTTTTAATTGTAGGCTGTAATTTTTAGGAATAACTCACTGAAATCTGTCCGAACAAGATCTATTAAACATTCCGGATATATTAAAACTTGAAACACAAAATCATAAATTATAATTTAATTAATAATCATAAAAAATAATAATATAATAATAATCAATTTAATTCAATAATATAATCAAACCAAAAACACTGAAATTTGAAATACAGAGGCAAATTCGCACATCGCTGAGCAAAGTCGCAAAATCGTTTTCAGTGTCTGATGACGAATTTCCCCACAAATCATTATCACTCAATTCTGCAAGTGGTTCTGATTTACTATCGCTGTTCTAAAACCGCTTTTGATGTAAAGGGACGCTTTTTGGCCGCCATGGACTTTTCTAAGTTTCCAGGCAGAAAGAACAGTCAAAATGCAGGCAGGGCACAGGACAAAGCAGTGGGGACAAAATGTATGTGAAATGCAGTGAAAAAGCAATGACAGCAAAAATTTCATTTTTTAAAAATTTCAAATTTCCCGCCGGTTCCGCCGCCCCCGAACGTTCCGACGTCACGGGGACCGGAACACGGAAGTCAGATGCCGGCATCCGCCGGAGGAGATGGACGGGGACGCTGCAGGGGACACATCGTGGGAGCGAAGGACAAGGTAAGTGCTGCAGGGACCCCCAGAGAACGCTGCATGGTAAGCCCGAGTGTTGCTCGGGGTTACCGTTCTTGGTATAGAAATTCTACCCCGAGCTACACTCTGGAAAACCGCTAAGGAGGTTAATACCTTGTCATCCAGTCCTCGTCATCTCTTCTCTACTTTTAACTCTCTACTTTCTCTACCTCCACCCCCACCCAGTACCTCATTCACTGCTCATGAGATTAGAAATCATTTAAAAAAAACAAAACTGACGCAATTCATAGGGGCATCGCCACTGCACAGATATCCATCCCACTTAGCATATCTTATACTAAACCTCCCTCAACACTTTCCTCTTTTGACCTTGCCACTACCGAAGAGGTCACTAAGGATGACTCAGAAGCCCATCTCACTACCTGCTCACTGGATCCTGTCCCCTCACAACTACTACGGTCACCCTCTTCTTCCATCCTCTTCTCCCTCACTCACATCTTCAATCTTTCCCTCTCTACTGGTGCCTTCCCCTCCCCTCTAAAGCATGCGCACATCACTCCCATACTTAAAAAGCCCTCCCTGGACCCCACCAACCTGAACAACTTAAGACCCATCTCCCTGCTGCCATTTACCTCTAAACTCCTAGAACGCTTAGTCTACAATCGCCTGAGCTCCCACCTCACCGACAACAACCTTCTTGACCCTTTACATTCTGGCTTTCGCTCACTACACTCCACTGAAACTGCCCTACTAAAACTCACTAATGATCTACTAACTGCTAAAACCAATGGCCACTACTCCATGCTCTTACTACTTGACCTCTCTGCGGCTTTTGATACGGTTGACCAATCCCCTCCTCCTCAAAAAACTCCACTCTCTTGGCCTCAGAGACTCTGCTCTCTCCTGGTTCTCCTCCTACCTATTGCAGCGCTCCTTCAGTGTTACCTATAACGCTGCCTCCTCCTCTTTACTCCCTCTTTCTGTAGGGGTTCCTCAAGGTTCTGTCCTTGGACCCCTTCTCTTCTCCATATACACCTCCTCCCTTGGTCACTTAAAAAAAACTCCCATGGCTTTAAGTACCATCTCTATGCTGATGACACACAAATCTATCTTTCTACCCCTCACCTCACCCCTTCAGTCTCCTCTCGCATCACTAACCTACTAAGTGACATATCGGTATGGATGTCACTCCACTTCCTCAAACTCAATCTTTCCAAAACTGAGCTCTTAGTATTCCCCCCAGCCCGTGCCCCCTCCCCTGACTTCTCCATCAAGATCAATAACACAATCATCAGTGCCTCTCCCCTCATGCCAAGGTACTACCGTGTTTCCCTGAAAATAAGACATCCTCCGAAAATAAGACCTACTTACAGGTTTCCTTCTGGGTGAAATATAAGGCATCCCCCCCGAAAATAAGGCCCCCCTATGAATGAAAAAGAATTTACCGTGAACTGGTTGCTAGGGCCGCCCCGACTGGCGTCTAGCAACCAGTGACGTCACTGCTGTGTGGAGGCGGAGCGGAGGTCGGAGTGAGCAGGAGAGAGATGCATGCAGAAGAACAGAGAAGAAGGTTCTCAGTCAGTGGCAGACCCTGCTCCAGCCCAGGTCCAGGCCCCAGCCAGCCCAGTGACAGTCCCCAGGCAGGCCCCAGGGGGGAAATGTCTGATAAAGGGGTGGGGGGGATGTCTGGTGAAGGTGTTCAGTGGCACAGGGGTGAGGGGAGAGGGATCACTTAAAATGACACAGGAGGATCAGAGGGGGCAATCAAAAATGACACAGGAGGATCAGAGGGGACAATCAAAATAACACACAATGACAAAATAAGACATCCCCTGAAAATAAGACCTAGCGCATCTTTGGGAGCAAAAACTAATATAAGGCACTGTCTTATTTTCGGGGAAACAGGGTAGGTGTAATCCTAGACTCCCATCTCTCCTTTCAGCCCCAAATCCAATCACTGTCCAAATCTTGTAGACTTCACCTCCGCAACATCTCCAAGATACAACCGTTCCTAACCTCGGAAACCACTAAGCAACTTATCCACTCCCTTGTTATATCTCGCCTTGACTATTGTAACTCCCTCCTCATTGGCCTACCTCATCGCAGGCTATCCCCTCTTCAGTCTATCATGAATGCTGCTGTCAGAATCATGCACCTTACTAACTGTTCTGTATCTGCCACCCCTCTCTGCCAATCCCTCCACTGGCTTCCCGTTGCCCAACAGATAAAATTCAAAACACTAAAATAACAATAACGTATAAAGTAATTTACAACTCTGCCCCAAATTACATCAAAGATCTAGTCTCTAAATATCACCCAAACCGTACTATCCGCTCCTCACAAGACCTCCTACTCTCTAGCTCCCTTGTCTCCTCCCATACTCATCTCCAGGACTTCTCCAGAGCTTCTCCCATTCTCTGGAACTCTCTACCCCAATTTATCAGACTATCGCCTACTCTGCTCACTTTTAGGCGATCTCTGAAAACCTCTCTCTTCAGGGAAGCCTATCCTGCCCTAAGCTAATACTACTTCTTCCAACCAGTCCATCCCCCACAGTTACTACCTTTTTGTACCACTAGCCCCTCTCTCCTAGATTGTAAGCTCCAAGGAGAAGGGCCCTCAAATTACTCTTGTATTGAACTGTATTGTTGCTGGATTGTCTCCCGTTATATTGTAAAGCGCTGAGCAAACTGTTGGCGCTATATAAATCCTGTATAATAATAATAATAAAATAATAAAATGTAGGAAGGAATTAACAGGTTGCAGCTTCTGCCGATCTCGATGTTTGTCAGCACTCTGCTCAGCAGATTGACAGGTGTTAGGGCCTCTGCCTTCAAATTACCACACTAAGGCTACTTTCACACTGATCTGATGCAAAAAAGCCTCAAAACCGCATAGGCGGTTTTAACACGTTTTTTTAAAGGACACGTGACTTAAAACTGCACCAAAAATGCTTCTCTGAGGCGTTTTCCATTGATTTCAATGGGAAGAGGCAGTTTTTTTAACTCCCCAAACATGCTCCAGTCGAGCTTAATTCTTTGGAGACGAACAAACGCTGAGGAGTTCTGGCAACGGAGGCCAATATGTCTGGTCTATTGTCTGGCTGAAACTTCTGTTACCCTCATTGGTACAAAATCTTTTCTCTGTTCCTCAGCAATGCTGCAAGCAGGAGTTTTTACACCGCATGCGCAACGCCTCAGTGTGAAAACATACATAAATATACAGTCACATATATAGGGAAGCAGTTTTCAAGCGCTTTTTTTAACGCAATCTTCGTAACCGAGGATTTGGAGCTTCACCAGAAGTGAGTAGAGGAGGGCTCCACTAGAGCCTCGGAACCCACAGGGATAGCCGCTTCTCCTCCGGTGGAACAAGAACCGTGGGGAAAACCAAGAAGGCAATGAGGAGGGAAGGTCCCATAACTAGGATACTTACCATCATAGCCTAGAAAACCCCAGATATGCGACCCCTCCAAGTCCACGGTCCCTGGAATTATGGGGAAGCATATACTAGGAGGCCCCTGCAACTAGTATGAAGGCCTAAGGTAACAATACCATTCTGATGCTCCTGCCGGAGGAAACAAAAATACTGGAGAACACTAGGTGACTGTACTCTTTTAATTTGACTGTGAATGATGTGTTTCCAGTTTTAGCTGGGTGGAGCCTCTCTCTCATGTGCAGTCCTGGAAGATGAAATGGGAAAATGCTTTGCTCATTTTTCATGTCTGAGGTTTATAGCCATTTAAAAGAAAAACACATTTTTGAGTTTAGTGTATGTCCAGCCAAAACTACTGTGGCTACTGTAGTTGAACAGAGGTCGATCTAATGATTTTTCTACTCCTAGTTTCAGAGAGACGCACATAAAACTGGTATCTAGATAATAAAGATGCTAACAGGCTCCTTGTGGTGTCTGCTTATAGGCAGGCCCTTTACTCTAAAATGTTTAAAGGGTAACTCCACTTTCGTGGGAGCAAATAAAAAAAAAAAAAAAAAAAAAAAAAAGAATATTTCATACACAATAGTTACACAAGCCATATTGTAGTTGAATGTTCAGCAAAAAAACCAGCTTTTTCTTCAGAGCAGAAACAGGTAGGAGTCTGCAGCAAAGTTTGTTAAAATCCTTGCAATGCATATAGATCACCCAGAGGGGAATTTTTTTTTGACCAACAAAAGTGGAACTACTCTTTAACATGGCTGTGAGGTCCGGATTTCAGGGACTATGGGATGACAAGATTGCCTAAACAGAATTTCAAATCTGCTAGAGAAAACAGTTCATGTATGTTTCAATTGTTTATGTCATTGTTCTGACAGAGAGGCCACATTGCTAATAACTTACATTAGGTTAAAGAGGCCTTCAAGATCTGGAGTGCTGCATCAAGGAAACAACTTTTCAGTAAGAAATTAATGTTATTGCAGACAAAGATCTAATCCAGGGTTTCTCAATCAGGGGTCCTCCAGGGGTTGCCAGGGGTTCCATGAGCAATGAGCAATTTTTTTGCCTTTCAGGTAAGTTCCAACTGACACCATTGATCTTTTTAGCAATCTGTAAGGAGGTTATTCTTCCCAATGGCCACAAGTGTAAGGAGCATTCTTACCTCTGACTATTACACTAATATATCATGAGTCATTTTTAGCAGGGGTTCCCTGAGACCGAAAAGTTATGTCAAGGGTTCCACTGTGTTGAAAAGGCTGATCTAATCTCTCACAACTCATGTCAATTTGTAAACTGCCTAAAAATGAGCATACGTGCTGCATTTACAACTCTGTCCATGTTTAGTAGTAGGCTGGGTTCACACACATTTTGCAGTGACGCGCACTATGGACATTGGTACTTTGTAGTACTATTCATTGTGAGTGGCACTCCCACACGTTGCAACACACCACAACATACGGTCACACACCATAGAGTGTTGTGATGCGATGTGTTTCTACAAACCGTGAATGTCCATTTTTTGTTTGTTCTGGTGCATTGGACTACCCTAACCTAACAAAGGCCAACATCTACAAAAATGTGTATAAATGGATATGTGTATGCACAAAATGCCAAAATCGTCAACTGTAAATCCAGCCTCAGACAACTAGCCAATATTTACAAGATACATCTATACATGGGTAATGATGATGATATATATACCCATTCAAAAAACACTTCAGACTTCCTTTAGTATCAAACAAGTCACCCCCCCTTTAAATATGATAAAGAGGTGATGTTACAATTTGATACACATTTTCAACGGAATCCAACCCAGAGTGAAATAAGTGAGTGGCTATTGTTGATTTTTTTTTTTTTTTTTTTAAATGCTAACTACCTATCCCTTTCTATCTTCATTACTTTCCGAATCAGTGACTCGGAATCAGAATGCAGCAAGTGAAAGTAGAACTGAAATTGTGTCCTTTTTTCTCCTTTCGTAATTTTTTATGGTGGTGGGTGCTTGGGTGGAACTACTCAATAGAATAACAAACATGTGTGTAGCATTCTTATGTCTGATTACTAACTCTGGGTTGGTTGTTTTTTTTCTTTTGTTTCTTTTTTTTTTGTTACTTGTTTAATGTAAGTTTTTTCTTCTTGTTTGGTTTTTCTGATTGTTCTTATACACAGGGCCGTGGATAAGGGGGTACCACCAGTCCTCCTGTACAGGGCCCAGGCCAGCAGGGTGAATCGTATGGTATGTGGGCAGGGAGGGTGATCGGCATGGTGGGAAGGGGGGGGGTTGGCAATCGCTGGAACCAATGCCCTGTGTGGCCCACTCCGCAGCATCTGAAAGCTGGATTCTTCTCCTCTCCCTCCCGCTGGTTTTCATCTGCTGCAGAGAGAGCCATGCAGGGGATTGGTTCCAGTAATTGCTCCCTGCCCACCATGCCATTCACCCTCCCTATGCACTTCTGATTTACCCAGCTACCTGGTCACCCACAGTGCTGGCTTCCCTCCTCTTTTTCCCACCGGCAGCTGCAAGCACACAATAGAATCCTTCAGGATGGAGAGTGGGGGGAAGAGTCTGATAAATATGTCACAATAACCAGCCCCTTCCTTTCCTGAATGAACACAATGAGTGATCAGTACTGATCACTCACTATGTTCACTCATAACTGAAGCATAGTAAACTGTGATTTTTTTTTTTTGAAGGGGGCCTTGTCAGGTTGGCTGTATGGGGCCCAGTGGTTTCTAACAGCAACCCTGCTTATACATGGAAATACTTATTTGTTGCTGCAGTATGTGTTGAATTTACATGCTTTTATACTCTAGAGCTGTGACAATTCCCTTTGTATACACTATTTGCTGCATAGTATTTTGCCACTGTATAGGCTTGACAAGTATAATTTAAAAAAAAGAAATAAAGTAGAACTGAAATCTGCATAATTGTCCCTAGTCAGTAACACAAAGTACATAAGCTGGTGACTTTACATGACAGCCAGGTGACCAGCATTTTTACAAGCAGATTAGAAATGGCAGTCCGCAAATATCTGTCAGTAAAGGTTTCCTTCAAGCTGTATAGAAACTCCAAGAATGTAATTTTACCTACAAACCCTAACCTAAGGTCCAGAGCTCCCTGATGATTCTGCAAAGGATACTGAAGGACTCACATACGTTAGTTTCCAGATCATATAGGCAGCTGCAAACCTCCCGAGGGTCAGAAGTAAATCCAGACAACTGAATAAACAGAAAACAGAAATTTATGAGAGTTATGTAGGATGGTGGCACCCAGGACTTTGCCACTTTTTAAACATCGTTCACAATCTAATCTCAGCCCAGCAAGGGATGTGCCAATCTTTTCTCCGCCATATTAGAACAGAATATACTTGTGATAATGTCAATCTGCCACCAGACAAAACACCTGTGGGTCTTTGTATAAAAACCTTGTTGTACAAATGTTTCGCACAGCCCCTATGAAACTTGCAATGTTTCGTGTAATGTAAGTATCTCAATCTAGTGATCATAATGCAGTATTTTTTTTTTTTAAAGGCCTCAATCAGAAAACATCCAGCATTATGGTTACTAAATGGCATTCAAGATCATAGAAGATAATTATATCACACAAAATATGGCAAATTGGGTCTGCGTAAATGCTTGTCAAGTCCGTACAGTAATATTTTTAAACACAGATCTTTTGGACATGTCATTAACTAGATAAACTGGAATCTTTTTGAAAAGATTTGTAAATAACTGCAGTGTTCTGTCAGATGACAGTTTAGAGCCCTGTGATGAAGCTGCATGCTATTTTCAGAGATTTAAGCAGAAGATCACCTACACTGCTGACTTTGCATTGCAAGTTATTTGACAGTAGAAGCAAAAAGTGACCTAAAGTGCACTTTTGCCCAGACAATATTATTATTATACAGGATTTATATGGCGCCAACAGTTTTCTCAGCGCTTTATAATATAACTGGAGACAAGACAACAACAATAGAGTTCAATACAAGAGGGATTTGAGGGCCCTGCTCCTTGGAGCTTACAATCTAGGAGATAGTCACCAAACCATTTACATATTCGTAACAAGCAGTAAAAGAGCTTTAAGTCATTGCTGCTTTTAGCCCTGGTTCACATCTCCGCATTCCTGCAGACCGCATTTTGTGTGGGCACGAGAGCCCATTCATTTGAATGGACTCCCGTGCCCTGGGACACGCAGGGAAGAAGTCCCTGCACTTCCTCGGAAAATGCAGCCTGCACGGGAACCTCGGTTCACAGTACAGTTGTGATTTCCAGTGCGGGTGGCATGCCATTAGAATTAATGGCACCCACCCGCAGGTCTGCATTCCTCTCTGCGGATTTATTGCGGATCTGCAGTGGCACCACCCGCACAGATGTGAACCAGGGGTTAGGGTCTGTTCACACCAGGTGCATTAGGACAATGCTGGGCAGCCTTGCAAAGCTGGTTCTCTTTAATGTCAGTACACACCACCATGTTGAATTCAACACAGCTGCTGGTGTGAACAAGGCCTTAAAGTGAAGTTGTTCATTCTTACAAATGCTCAAAGATCACAGCAAGGACTCCAGAGTCAGTTACAGTCACTTTCTAACAGCTTACAAACACCTATTGGTTGTTCACATTAGAAAAAAATACAAAGGTTTCAATGCTTGTGTTGTGACCATTGAACATTAAATATCTCTAAAATGGTTTTCAACTGCAAGCATTACACAGAATAGAACTGGTTACTAACATTTATAGATAAAGTTGATCCAGGGAATATCCAATTGCCTCTCAGGGGATCAGGAAGGAATTTATTTCTTCTGCAGGAACATATTGGATCATGCTTTGCTGGATTTTTTTGCCTTCCTCTGGATCAACTGTGGGTATTGGATTATTATTTTGGCTGAACTGGATGGACTTTTGTCTTTTTTAGCCAGATGAACTATTTAACTATGTAATACATGAAGAGAACTGCCACAAGAAATTAAAAAAGAACACACAAGGCTGCTCAAAATTAATAGGAAAAAAAAAAAAAAAAAAACACATAAGACCACTCAAGTCATTCTAAAATCAGAACAAAAACTGGACTGTCACTAGTGATAAGGAAATGATCAGTAATGATAACATAACAGCCGGCACTGTCAGAATTCCTGAATAGTGCCTGCATCTGACTGGATGCAGGCACTGTTCAGTTGACAATTATACAACAGGGTCTTTCGGTAAAAGTGGATTAACAATTAACCCGTTGTGGACCAAGGGACGTATTTGTCCCATGTTTGTAATTGCGTGTATCATCTGATTAAGAACTTAAAACTCTTTTTTTTCTATTTGGTTTGAGTCAAAATATTAGTTCTTATCAACAAACAACAAATGGATCTAGCTTTTTGCCAATTATTTCATGAAATGGCTTAGTTACAGCAACTGAAGTGTACAAACTTTAAAAACAAAAAAATTGATTCTTTTGGCGTTCCAAAACCTTACGGTCTCAAAGGGTTAACAGTTGGGAACACTGCCAGCAGGGCCATGCAATGCTCAAATGTCTGTAATTCTGAAATTTGAGCAGTACTGTATATGCCAGCTATAGAAATGAAGAAGAGTGAGTTATGAGACAAGCCATGTATATATTTTATCACTCACCCACATAGCCTCATTGTTTGCAACTACCAGTGCAAATTCATGTCTCTTATCTATTTTGTGCTTTGTTCGAACAAACATCTCAATCATCTTCTGTGAAGAATTGAGAGCATTGGCTTTGGACCTATCAATATTTAAAATAAAAAAAAAAACAAAAAAAAAACAACACAGAATTTATTAGCAATATATATAAAAAAAACAAAAATTTACATGAGAAGAAAATCATAATTTCTATAATCTTTAAACCAGCCATATTATTTCAAAATAAAAGAACATTAAGTATAAAGAAATGTATTGGAAGGACACAATGGTCTTTAATGTGTCTGACTAGGATTTAAAAGAACATACAACTTCAATATTTTAAACATAAATCACCAGCGCCAAAATTATACAAATTGGATATACAAATAAATGCTGCTGCTCATCAGTGCAAACCCACACCAAAAAAAAATATATAAAACATTAAAACAGCACAAAAAAAAAATTAATTAAAAAAATCATAATTATATTAAATAACACTCCAAAAAATATATATAATACATTTATATATAAAATTATAAGTCCTACTCCAGGTAAGTGAAAAAAGTATTATAATAAAAATTACAAAAAAAAAAAAAAAAAAAAAAAAAAAAAACACATAAAAATTCTTGAAAGTCCTCTTTCCAAAGAAATAAAATGTGCTTCCATAAAATTATAAATCCCACTCCAAGTTAATGAAAAAATTATTATAATAAAAATTATAAAAAACACGTAAAAATTCTTGAAAGTTCTCTTTCCAAAGAAATAATACGTGCTTCCACCAAAAATAGTGCTCAAAAAATATACCGAAACTCACCAGACCCATAGTGGTGAAAAAAAAACCTTTAAGGTTTTTTGGGATCCTAGACCCAGTCATTTAAATGAATGCCTCCAGTAATTTTCTGAGATCCCCACAGCAACAGAAAGCACAGAATACACAAGATGGCCCCTGGGAACGCCGCAGCATTTCACCACCCCGTATGGCGGCGGGACCGGAAATGTGTCAATGCTCTCCCAGCGCTATTTATTTGTTTTTTCCCCAATGCTCTTGGTTCTTGGAGAGTGGAGTCTCCAAGAACACACACTGGGGGCATTGTATCTGGGAAAAAACAAATATTTCTTTGGGAGAATTTTTATGTCATCATGGTAAGGTTGCATTAATGGACATCATATATAGACTGACAAATAAAATGGAAGCAAGTTCAAAGTAAATGCCATTTTAGACTAATTTACTAAAGGAGTAAGAATCTTCACAAAATAAATCATGTTGATATTCACTAAAGGTATTAAATTATTGCAGATACAGATGAAATAAGTAATGTGCAGATACAGATGAAATAAGTAAACAGGATTTTGCTTTTCACACGATTAGATAATTGAAACGAATATTCATATAATCTTTGTGTTAAGATGTTAAATTCCCTTAGTAAATCTGCCTGTATGTAAACAATTTGAAAAATGGTATTTTTCAAAGGGCTGAGCTGTATTCCAAACACCATTCAGAAGAACCTTTTATACAACAGTGGCTGTAGCCAGAGCAAGTCCTAGCTGTCAATTTCACAGCTGACATTGGATGATGAGGGCAGTGGGGTGAGTGGTAGCTTGGGGAAGGGGGACAGTTCATTTGCCCTGTGAATTTTGTTGAAACACACAGGAATGTACGCCATATGCCTTGTGTCCTCCTCAACTGGTTAAAAAAAATTCTTATATGTAAACAGACCTTGCACCCAAAACTAACCCCTATCTATAACCCCTATTAGCCCGCCATGCAAATCTGCTATTTAAACCTTTGGGAGATACTTACCTTAGACCCAAACTTCTGGCACCCTCATCTAGGCTCTGGTGACCTCACTAAGCCTCAACATAGCCTTCTGGAAAAGCTGAGGATTAAATTAGGCAAGAATATAATCCTGTGCAGAAAGTAAGAGTTCAAAGTAAATATAATGTATTATTTCTAATGTTTTTTTTTTAGGTTTAATTTTAGAGACTTTGCATAGTAGGGTGCTAATAGATAGTGCTTCAATATTTTAGGTACAAGGTCTGGTAAGTTTTTCCCCTAAGATTCAGAGTGTTGGATTAAAAGAACTGTTTTTGAGTATACAGATATATAGTGGAATACAGTTTCCAATTTATAAGATTATTCAACTAGCATGAGTCTAACCTCATCTTGGAGAAATATTGCAGAAAGAAATAAGCATATAAATTATTAATGGACATGGAGGTCCTTAAGCATGAGGAAAGGTTAACTGAAATAAATGTATTCATTGTTGAAGAAATAGGATTAGGGCCGGTTCACACTATAGATACACAGTCCAGATGCGTTCCGCATGCATTTCTGCATGCGCATTTTTGATGCTTTCCAGTTCATTTTTCCCCCTCTCTCTCTCTTCAGTTTAAATAGGGGCATGTGCATTCCAGTGTGTTTTTGGTGCAGTACAATTCTGTGCAGGAAAAATGCAGCCTGTTCTACTTTTTTTTTCTGCAACTGGAACTGATGTGAACTATGATATTGACAACCATATAACCTACCTTATGTGCGTTTTGGATGCAAAAAAAAAGCACACTGAAACACATGTACTGTGAACTGGTCCTAAAACGAATAAGATTCACAAAGCTTAATGAAATTGTGCTAAATGTCAGGTTGTGACTTAAATGAAAGAGGGTTAACATTTTGCATACATTAAGGGTTCTTTACTATAAAAGCTGTGAAAAAATATCTTTCACAGGAACTGGTTCAATCAGATCACGTAGATTGTTTAAAAAAACGTGTGCATTTTAATAAAAACATATTATATGAATAACTTCTTAAAATAAGAAGTTACAGAGTGGAATATTGATCCAATTAGGTTTCTGATTGGTTCAGGGATTAGGAAGGATTTGTTTTCCCTATTAGAGCAAAATAAATCACACTTTGCATAGTTTTCTTCTATAATACTTAAGAGTTTAGGTTGGGAGGATGTCAAAGACCAACTCGGGGCAAATTAGGATTTGCAATCAGCAAGAACTTAAATTACAACTCCTGAAAGGATAAGGCGTCATGTACACTTGAACTCACCTAGTCTTTAAACTCTCCTAGCAGCAGAAAAACGCTAAATGAGGCAAAAACAAATGTGAACGCAGTACCACGTTTAGCATTTTTTGGCCAACACTTTCCTTACCTGAACACGATTATTGTGCATTCAGAAGAGGAACATTTAACTACCCCTAAACTCTGCTGCTCCTAAACTCTGTACATGGACACACAGGCTTGTATTGAGTTGAGTTCAGGGGCTTTAGCAAAAAAAAAAAAAAAAAAAAAAACGCCAAAAGCTCCTAAACTCACATTTAGGAGCAGCAGTGTACATGAGGCCTAAAACAGTATTCAGTGGAACACCTGACAGCTCTCTCTCAGAAGACTTGCACTTATAGTAGTTGTAAAGCCCTAATACCCTGAGCCCCCTCTAGATCCAGTGATGTGCACGGGAGCCTCGTCTGTCCTGTTTCTCTCGCTCTCTCCCTTCATTGGCTTAGACACAAAAATGGGAGCCATTGGCTTCCACTGCTGTCAATCACAGCCAGTAAGCCAACGAGGAGAGAGTGGGGGGTGAGGGTGGCCAAGCTGTGGTTCTATGTGTCTTATGAATGCATAGATCGGGGCTCAGGAGCAAGCACACACTGGTGCCCCTATAGCAAACGGCTTGCTACTGGGGACAATGGACAAAACCATTGTACAGAGAAGGTAATTATGACATGTTTATTATTTATCCACTTGCCCTTCGGAAAAGATTTAAAAATAAATAAATAAAAAATTAACGTTTAGAATCACTTTAAACTGGCCACACAGCTGAAAGAAAAAAAATATCTAACAGATACCCCCATCCTTGCTATACAACACAGATGGATAAATTGCCCACTAAAGCTATTGTATTTTAACAGCCTTCTGGATGCAGCTGCTGTTCGGCTGACAATTTTCCATCCAGCTTTATATAGAAAATCTTTTGCAAACTCTGTGATGGTATAACAGGAGCTAAGGAAAGGGGCTACATAGAGCAGAGACATGGTCACTTACGGTTAAAAAAAAAAAAAAAAAAAAACATAGGAAACTATACAACGGGAGAAGGAAGTTTGAGGGTACTATTAGATGCTAGCTATAGTTTAGCTTTACAACAGGGCTCATCAACCATAACATGCTATTAAACAAATTAAACCACTTCCCAGCCGTCCTATAGCAGTTTTACTGCTACAGGGCAGAAAAAACAAGTAGAATGGCGCTGACAAATAACCATACATAACCATGAGAACATAAAAAATGACACAAGTCTAAAAGTCCATAAAAATGATCACTATATCAGTGGCAGCTCCCCATTGAGTGAAGCAAAGCTCTGCAAAGACAAAATAGAACAGATGGGGTTGCCAGCCTAAGTGCAGTATTAAGAACAAGGTTTAATTAATAAAAGCATCCAAATAACTACTCATAACTGTAGTATATCTTAAGGCACGTAATAGTAAATATTCTGAGCCCCGAGGTGTTGTCCTGCAGAGCCGGTATATGGTCTGTCACTTCTCAGTCCAATATGGCAGACTGCAGACTGGTAGTCATGGACGCCGTAACCACTGTGGCACGTATGGAAGACAGGGCCGAGCCAACATCCAATGGGGGCACGAGGACAAGTCAGGTGACACGTTTCAAAGCTTCCGCTTTTTCTTCAGACCTGGTTGGATGGCACAACTGTCAATTTTTTAAATGTGCGTTCCCATGAAAGGGAGGGAGTGGCCAAAGTTATCCACACCATAGAAATATCGATAAATATCATTAATTAAATCATTAATCAAAAATGATCACAGAAAATCCTATGGATTATCATTACATGCCTTAAGACGTGCTATAGTTGTGAGTAGTTATTTGGCTGCTTTTATTCAATAAACTTTGTTCTTAATACTGCACTTAGGCTGGCTCCTCCGTCTGTTCTATTTATACTGCTACAGGGCGGCTGCTCTGCGCAAAATCATGTGTATATATGTAATTTTGCATTTCCAGGTACGGGGCGTGTGCGTGCCATCCAACCCATGCTGTCATTAGCTCCCATAGGTGTCAATCACCAGGTCGGTGATCCGTGGAGCAGCTGACAGGAGAGAGATCTGAGTATAAAAAACACATCTCTCTCCTGTCAGCTGGGATGTGCTGGTTTTTCAAACAGGGAGATAAAAGCCAGCATGACCCCTAGTAAAACATAGCAGTTCACAGTCTAATCACTCCCTAGCACACAGTTAGCCCTTTGATCATCCCACATGTTAAACCCTTTCTGCCCAGTGTCATTAGTACAGTATCAGTGCTTTTTATTAGCACTGATCACTATATTAGTGTCATGGAGATGTCAGTGGCAGTTAGTCATTTCCCTCCCAGTTAGTGTCAGAATGCCCGCCCTACAATCGCTGATCACCACCATTACTAGTATTAAAATAAATAAATACAAACTGCAGTAAATATACCTCCATTTGTAAATGCTATATTTCATGCAAACCAATTACTATACACTTATTGGGATTATTTTTTGTTACCAAAGACATGTAACAGAATACATTTTGGCCTAAATTTATGAAGAAAAAATATTTTAAGTTTTTTTATGGGATGTTTTGTAGCAAAAAGTAAAAAAAAATTGTTTTTTTTTTTTTCATTTTCAGTCTTTTTTTCAGTTATAACGCAAAAAAAAAAAAAAAAAAACCATGTGGTGATTAAATACCACCAAATGAAAGCTCTATTTGTGTGAAAATAAATGAAATTTAATTTGTGTACAGTGTTGCAAGACAACACAATTATCACTTAAAGTAGCATAGTGCTGTATAGCAAAAAAATGGCCTGGTCATGAAGGGGGTAAATCTTCCAGAGGGCAAGAGGATAAACAGCATCTTTCAAAACAGTGTCCACCGTTATGAAAAAAAACTATACCCATTAAAGGATTCCAGTTTCTGGGAGGACATTTCTTCAGACAAATCCAGACAAATAATCTGTAGCAATAGGAAAACAAAAGACAATCAGTGACATCAAAAATACTTAAACTAATAAAAAAGTGCTATCATCATACTGAATTTTGTTTTAATTGACCTACAACCAAACTCACCTGGAGCCAGTTTGCAAAAGAGTTTAATCAAATGCAATAAAAATTGGTTATCTAGATAATTTTTGAGCCCTCATTTTTGGTTACTCAAACCATCCCGTAACTGTGTGAATTGCATATAGTTGCAACATTGTGTTGCTGCACCTAGGGGGTAAAAACAGGCATTGAGGAGGCAACATATCACCTCTTCACCGCCTGTCAAATGCCTCAGAAAAGCAAGCCAAGCATGGATCACTTTTCAGAGCAGCAGAATTCCTTACTGCTATCATGAACGAGCCCTATAAAGCAGTTCTGATCATACAGGATTAGAGGTCAAGATTAAGTCCGGGCTCACATATATGCGATGCGGTACATCGCATGTGATTTGCACAGGAACCGCACTGCATTTTGTATGGCTCTAATTACACCGCACCCAAAAGGTGCAGGACCCTTTTTTTGGTCCGCACTAGAATCGAATCGTATGTGTATTCACACCTATGCGATCCGATTCTGCACATCGCACCGCGCTTTGCAGACCGATTTCGGGGTGTTGTTAACTGAACATACACACCCGCAGCGGTTCACTTGAACAGGGTGCGATTCTGTTGCAGTGTGGAATTCGCACAGAAAACGCTGCGAATTCCGGACCGCATCAGTGTGAACCCAGGCTAAAAGTAATGTACTAACACTATATTGCTAAAAGTATTGGAACACCACACACATGAACTTTACTGGCATCCCAGTCCGTAGGATTCAATACTGAGTTGGCCCACCCTTTGCAGATATAACAGCTTCAACTCTTCTGGGAAGGCTGTCCACAAGGTTTAAGAGTGTGTTTATGGGAATGTTTGACCATTCTTCCAGAACAGCATTTGTGAAGTCAGGGGCTGATGTCAGATGAGAAGGCCTGGCTTGCAGTCTTCACTCTAATTCATCCCAAAGGTGTTCTATCGGGTTGAGGTCAGGACTCTGTGCAGGCCAGTCAAGTTCCTCCTCCCCCAAACTCGCTCATCCATGTCTTTATGGACCTTGCTTTGTGCACTGGTGCGCATTGATGTTGGAACAGGAAGCGGCCATCCCCAAACTGTTCCCACAAAGTTGCGAGCATGAAATTGTCCTAAAGGTCTTAGTATGCTGATACCTTAAGAGTTCCCTCCATTGGAACTAAGAGGCCAATCCCAACCCCTGAAAAATAACCCCAGACCATAATTCCCCCTCCACCAAACTTTACACTTGGCACAATGCAGTCAGGCAGTACCGTTCTCCTGGCAACCCCCAAACCCAGACACATCCATCAGATTGCCAGACAGAGAAGTGCGATTAGTCTCTCCAGAGAATACGTCTCCATTGCTCTAGAGTCCAGTGGTGACATGCTTTACACCACTGCATCTGACGCTTTGCATTGCACTTGGTGACGTAAGGTTTGGATGCAGCTGCTCGGTTATGGAAACCCATTCCATGAAGTTCTCTCCACACTGTTGTTGTGCTAATCTGAAGGCCACATGAAGTTTGGAGGTCTATTGACTTTGCAAACAGTTGGTGACTTCTGCGCACTTCAGCATGTGCTGACCCCGCTCTGTCATTATACCTGGCCTACCACTTTGTGGCTGAGTTGCTGTTGTTCCCAGTTGCTTCCACTTAATCACTACCCCTTTATATGATGTAAGGATAAAAGTCAAATATCTCAGGATGTTGATCCCCAAAAAGCCCATATAATCTATACAAGGACAATATCTCTTCTCTACAGTGCTCACTCAAAACAGTCCTTGCCACCTGTTCTCATTTTAAAAATTTCCTGCATAGAAAGGGTCACCAAATTAAAATGGTGAAATTTCATAGACTTTGTTTTATACTATATGAGTTCTCCCTATTCTGATAAAACCTCAAGTGTATTTATAGGATGTACCAGAAGTTTATCTGGGGCAGTAGAAGAGCTGCAATTGGTTTGGGCACCTGACAGCACCTCTTTAGTGATGAAGGAGTTAATCTGCCTGTATAATTTGGCCTCTCCTCTCAGATATCCAAGAGACTGGATCCATGGCATCTCAGTATATACTGACCCTGGTCCTAACCAGGGTACCCGCATCAACATATATTTTCCCCACATCCATAATTAACATTTGCTCACGATGTTTGCTAAACAGCCACAAATCAGTTTTCCTCCAGATGTGGAACAACCCTGACTTTCAAAATCCCCTAACAGTTACTGAACTTCATGCTATTAGATAAATTCTACTTGGTATTTGTAATTACTATTTTACTGCTCAAATGTTGTGGCCATCATTCTTGGCAGTTGCATTCTCGGTAAACATATTAAAAAAAGAATTGGCAAAAGCCAAATACTCCAAACACTCAATGTGTACTGCACACAGCTATGCCATCCCTGTCATTTAGCTTCTGCACACCATTGGAACAGATCAACACTTTTTTGCCTGAATGTCAAAAATCCATTTAAATATATAATAACCACAAGAACCATTTCAGCAAAGGGTACGCACCACTTTTTCTGGGCAGTTCACTCTTGGAGTCTTTATTTGGTATTCTGGAGGTGGAGGAAGAGCACAGCTTGGAGGAGCTGTGGCTGGTGGTGATGGATCCTCTACCTGAGCTGCCTCTCCTTCGCCCTCACTCCGGCTGCCCACAACAGGCTGTATGGGTGCTGCCCTGTCTTCTGCGCCTTCTGGGTTGGACCGCGTGCGGGGTCTCTGCTCCACTGCCCGCTCCCCATCATCTGCGGACTCCGAAGTGTCCATGCTGCACGTTTCCTCTGTAGGGCTATCCAGCTTTGTGGTGGGGTTGTTTAATTGAGAATGATGAATGGTTTAGACTATTAATGTGGACCTACAGGGAAAGAATGCAGATTAATACATAGCTGCATTAATTATATTCTACATTCTACTTATTTCTTCAATTGCAGATATTTATGTTAAAAACAAAACAGAAAAACTAATGATAGAAATCCAATGATAAAAGAGTAAACCCTAAATCTACTATAGTATGTTTTATATAATGTTTCAGTGTATACCCCTTTCTTAACAAAACTTTTTTTTGTTTGAGCACACACTGCTGTTAAATATTGGATAGTGGTTTGGTGCCGTCAGCCTGCAACAAGAAGTGTTGTTACTTTCAGGATCTCTGGGTAGGAAACTGCTTAATGGATTTACAAAAAAAACCCTATATTTTGTTAGACATGATTCCAAACATACTGAAAAATATATTTTGGGTTTACATACACTTTAAAAGACGAGTTCACCTTTAAATAAAAAAAAAAAATAATCAATGCACATTTTTTTTTGCAGGTAAAAAAAAAAGTGCAATTCTAATTTTTTTTTTGACTAGGAGCCTGCAAAGCATTGCACCTGCAATGAACAGATCGCGGGTGCAATGTAAGACTCCTGCAGACTGTGTAAGCTGTCTACTTGTTCCCTGTATGTGCAGGCAGTTACACAATGACAGGGAAGAAACAATGAACTGCCTAGAGTGCTCCAAAGCACTCCTATAGTTCATTGAGAGCTACATGCCATCAGCCGCAAAGGCTGTTGGTACTTGTAGCTCTCCCACTAACAGAACTCTGTGAATAGATGACGCGGCCATGTGGACAGAGCCCCGCATGGCCACTTTTCTTTTTCCTCTAAATTGTGACAGTGAGTTTGGGAAGAAGACCCCTGGCCTGCATGCCACTAGGGGTGGCAGGTCAGGGAGCAGCTGTAGCAGTGGGAACATGCTACATGTTCCACATGTAACGTGTTCCCAAAGGTGAACTTATCCTTTAAAGTAGATCTAACTCCAATCACCAACATTTTGACAACTGCATAACGCATATACGCAGCAGCAGGAATAGTGGGCTTTACCACCCAGGCACCACACATATTTGGCCACAGTGGTCAGAGGTTGTGTGCCGACAGTGCATGCACTGTACGCTCTCAGCACACCGACCAAATTGTTACCGATAGCTCTTGGTCATGGCTTCTGATAGGGAATCTGTGGCATAGTTTCCTGATCATGTGACCACTGTAGAGCCAATTGTAGTGCTCACATGATACAGAAGCTGCACCATCTCCCACCGACCCTTGAAGTGGGTTTGGTTTCCAATATATTTCTGAACAAAGAAAACATACCATTTATGAATGACTATGATGATGCACAAATTGTTTTCCAGTTAGAATATGAAATTACTAGCAAGTTTCACCTGAGTGCTTGCCATATCTCCCCTAATGGGACACCGATATAAAATACAAAAATAATAATACATCTGACAGTGGTTTTAAAGTGTTACTAAAGTCTTGTTTTTTTTCTTTTAATAACAAACATGGTATACTTACCTGCTCTGTGCAGTGATTTTTGCACAGAGCAGCCCGGATCCTCCTCTTCTTGGTTCCCCTGGGCCAGAACTCCTGGCCCCTCCCTTTGGTGCCCCCACAGTAAGCAACTTGTTATAGGGGCACCAAAGAAGGTGTGCTCCTGAGCCATGGCTCTGTGTGCCCATTCACACACACAGCCGTGGCTTGGCCCCCTTCCTCTCCTTTTTGGCTCACTGGCTGCGACTGACGGCCATTGGATCCCGCTGCTGCCCCAGCCAATCAGGAGTGAGAGTCCCAAGAGAACTGAGACTCTCAGATAAATGTTAGGGGAGGCTGCTACACACAGAGGGCTTTTTACCTTCACGCTTAACCACTTTAACCCTTCAAAAAAAGGTTTGGCTTTAGGTAAACTTTAAAGTGGTTGTAAAGTCAAATTTTTTTTAACAAATATAGTGTACTTACTTGCTCTGTGCAATGGTTTTTACACAGCAAGGCCCCAAACCTTCTCCTCCTCTAGGGTCCTCCACCAATGTTTTCAGCTCCTCCTCTTCTTTGTGTGCCACCATAGAAAGCCGCTTGCTATGGTGGCACATGTGCGGGTTTGCTCTCGAGCTAGGCTGTGTAGGTCCACGACACACAAAGCATAGCTCAGCCCTGTCCCCTCCTCACAGGATTTGATTGACAGCAGCGGAAGCAAAAGCCTCTATCCTGTGAATGCTACAGATGGGCACAGTGCAGAAACACATGAGGACTTGAGTGAGGTAAGTATTTGAGGGGGGGGGGGGGGGGTGATAAAAAAAAAATACTGGGATAATTTTTACCTTGATGCAGAGTCCATTAAGGTAAAAAATATCTAGGCTTTACAACTACATTAAGTAAAACATTTGCCAGTTTGAAAAGGTTGACCACTGATTTCACCACTGATTCCTACTGAAGATGAGCTGTGTTTGCTCATTATATCTGTCACTACGTATCTTTTCTTCTCTGCCTATGATAAGTCAGCAAAAATGAAAAAAACATATTCACAGTCAGTGCCAAGTTTGAATTCTAAGGCCTCGTTCACACTTTTGCAGAGACCTCCAATGCAGAAAAGCACAAACCTCCACAGAAGCATGCAATTGTTTTCTATGGGCCCTGTTCACACCACAATGGTGCAGAGTAGAGTCTGCAGTTTTCTGCACTGAAGCTCCCCTGTAGTCTGCGTCTACCTGCATTTAATAAAATGGCACTTGTAACATTTCAGTAGAGTTAAAAAAAAAAAAAAAAAAAAGGTAAACAGTACCATGTGTTGTAAAAACGCAGAGCACTTTTAACCACCCCCAACACTGCCTGTACAGAATGGACACCAACCCACGTAGGAAAATATCATTTGTCTGTGCAGGCTAGAGTGAATAAACCTTTACCCTGGTTGTATAGCTTTTTTTTCTTGTTTTTTGGGATATCGCAGGGAAGGATTAGGTCTCCTGTCAGGTTTTACTGCCCACAGAGACTCCATGTCAGATTCCTTCTCTTCCTGTCTGGTAAAATGTCTGTCCCGGGTGTCCGCAGGACATGAAATGAGGGGAAATCTCTTTCACAGCAACAGACAAAAGTAAACATGCTTTTAGAAAGTGGAGATGCTATAACCCCAGTCAGCTTTTTATTGTTACTGATTTCCCTGGTGCTGATTTGTTCTCACTTCCTGTCCCCAGAACAGAAAGTAAGGGGAAATCTCCCTAGTGAAGCTCTAGCTGGCAGGGGCTCCAAACTTGGGTAGAGCACATAGTGGAATGTAGCAGTCATGGCTTAGAATACTATCATCAATACAGTACCTGTCCTGTTTTCAAGTTCCTTCGTTCCTCACTACACAGAAATAGAGAACAAAACATGTAGGTTCATCACCCTTTCCAGTTCCACCCACTAGTCCTCTGCAGAAGCCAAGCCTCGATCTGAAAAACTACAGCCAAGCCTCATTCTGGGTAGCAGTTAGCAAGCCTCGATCTGAATAACTATAGCTAAGCCTCGATCTGAATAACTATAGCTAAGCCTCGATCTGAGTAACTACAGCCAAGCCTCGATCTGAATAACTATAGCTAAGCCTCGATCTGAGTAACTACAGCCAAGCCTCGATCTGGGTAGCAGCACATTCTAAAAATACCTTTGTTTTGATTCTCCCATTTGGTCTGTTAATTATACAATTGAAAGTGTTTAATTATATTTGTTCTACATGTTAAAAAATAAAAAAAAAAAAACTAAAATACCTTTTTCATCCAGCCAGAAATCCTATGAGCTGATAACTTCCTGTGCTCTCCTTGTCTGGACTATTTATCAGAATTGTTCTCTGCTAAGTCCACTGGCTACAACACACAAGAGATTGAGGTGTTTTGTAGTCCTAGCACACTCCCTGTAATAGAGTGACAGCACTGATTAGTATGGTTGTCACCCTAGGACTGGAATTGAGTTAATGGCAGAATTATTAGGTACAAAAAAGAAGCAAATATTGTATAAGAAGAAAACTAATACAGCCATCACATCTAGGGACCTGTAAGGTGCAATAATATCACATTTTGTTCTTGGGTTTAGATCAGCTTTTCTCAACCAGGGTGCCCAGGCACCCTGGGGTGTCTTGAAGTTTCTGCAGGGGTTCCTTGGCAAAATATCTAAAAGTTGCACAAAACATGTATACAAGCCAGCGGGTGGAACAAGTCTGCCTTTTAGTTACACAAAGCCACAGGTTTTCATTGCACACCATTATGACCTTCTAGCTACCGGCATCCTGACAACCAATGACATCAGTTAAAAAGAAGGATGTCAGCTGCCTGCACAGCATCCTAGTTTGACCCTCCCCTGCCCCTCTCCATCAGTGCTGGCGTCACATTAGCTGAGTAATGGAGAAAAAACTGAGATAAACACTGTAATACTAGTCAGGACCAGTGTGAAAAAGTGTATTTGATTTGGAAGAATGAATCACCTCTAGCGTTGGGTGTCCATGTGTGGATGTTGCTTCATTGTAAAAAACTATTAAAATAGTTTTTTACATTTTAGAATGGGGTGCCTCAAGACTTTCCATAATTTTAAAAGGTGCCTTGACTAAAAAAAGGCTGAGAAACACTAGTTTAGATAGACAAACCAATAACCCTAAAGCAAACCTTACCCTCCTTTTCCTTTATAGCGCTACCCCCATAGAAGCTGCTGCAGTACTGTCCAGGTCTTCCCTAAACTTCGTCCCATAGCCAGGCACAAGGTAGTTTCACAGCCAGGTACAAACACTTTCAGAAACATGAAGCAATATTGGTGCTGCTACCCATGCAATCCCACATTCAAAGAGCTTACGAGAGCCTGATTCACAGTTGATCGGCTGTATACGATACTTCATTAGAAAGATCTACACGACCGTTGCTGCTCTTAAAACAGAATTAATTAGAGCTGCAGACAGAATTTCCTCAAATAGCAGCCTTGAGCAAAGTCCTAAT